GAAGCTATGTATGTGCTCTTCTAACCCTGTTTGTCTTGGTTACATCACTTTGATACTTGTTCAACTTCTTATTATTAATTAATTTGCAGGAACCTTCTGAAGAGCCCTTCGATCTATCTGCTGTTCCAAAAGAAGTTAAATCGCAGCCACTTACTGAGAAAAAAGCTCCAAGCAAAAAGCCTCCCAGTTTTGGGGTTTCCGCCAATGGACCTACCTCACCTATTGATGCATATGAAAAGCTGCTTTCATCTATTCCTGAGTTTTCTAGCTTTGGGCAACTGTTTAAGGTTTTGAACCGAGACTACCATATTCTGTGCAAAAAGGTTATAAAAACAAATTTTAATATGGATGCCTTAACATCTTTTCCTTTTTTCTTCCAGTCTTCCGCACCTGTAGAGTTGACAGAAGCTGAAACTGAGTATGCGGTTAATGTTGTTAAACACATCTTCAGCGGGCATATTGTATTCCAATATAACTGCACAAATACAATACCTGAGCAGCTGTTGGAAAATGTATTTGACTATCCTTTTGTGATTTAGAATATACTTTAGTGTTTGAATTTTCTTAATTTCCTTTTTTGGCCGACTTGCCAGGTCGTTGTTATTGTAGATGCTTCTGACGCAGAAGAATTTGCAGAAGTTACATCAAAGCCATTAAAAACATTACCCTATGATTCACCGGGGCAGACATTTGTTGCATTTAAGAAGCCAGATGGGCTTCCATCCACTGGGAGATTTTCGAACTTGTTGAAATTCATAGTTAAAGAGGTATTAATATTTCTAGGCTGTCAAATCTTGGAAAATAGAAGAACACATTTTAAGAAATTCTGTTTTGCAATTTTATTTGATACATTTGTTACTTGTTGGTTACCACTTCATGTGCATGCCGCAGCTTGTCAGAGTGTTCATATCTCAACAGAGCTATTTATGAATTTCTCAAAAATCATTGTCTTGCAGAAAATTGGCTTTTATATTCTTGCAAAGCTAAGCCATTCTTCTGGTTTTTAGAATGGATTGATTGGATCTATTGTTTAAAAAAAAATGGTATGAAATTGAGCCTTTAAGACATGGACCAAGTTTTTTAGGGAGTATCAAACAGTAGTTGGAACAACCAAGTTGGATCTTAATGTACTTAATTTGATTCTAGTTGTGTGGCCCTTAGCAACCAGTGCGTACTGTGCTCACAATGCAGTAAAATTACTGCTACTTGTTTCAGGTAGATCCAGCTACAGGGGAAGCAGAAGAAGAAGGTGTTGAGGATGAATATCAGCTTGAAGATCTTGAAGTTGTTGCGGCAGACTATATGTTGAGGGTATCTGTCTTAAACTTCAAAAATGCTTGGGAAAGCATGGGTCCAGATTATGAGCGTATTGATGAATATGGACTTGGTGTGCGGGAAAGCTTGGCTGAGGCCGTCACTGCTGTCATCAACATTCTTGGCATGCAGCCTTGTGAAGTATGCTCACTTTTTCCTAATCAATTCTACATAAAGATCTTAACTTCGCATTGTAGTTTGATACTTAGTGATTAGTTGATTACCTTGTTCAACCCCTGCATTCAGCTGTACAAGATCCTTTCTTGTTTTACCGATTCATTCGTTATTTCTTAAAGACATTGTTATAACCAGTGAGTCCTTTCACTTATGTATTGTCTTTTCCCGTAGATTTGACATGCAGGATTAGAACTTCTACTCATGATCTGGAGAAATTATTAGGTGCGGAAACCGGACGTAGTCCGGACATTCACTTAAAATTTGACACGTGGAGTGCACTTTAGTTGTGTGCTTTACTTGCGCTTTACCTATGCTTTAGTTGCACTTTAGCTGCGCTTTGACTGCTATTTTGTTGCGCTTTTTGACTGCGCTTTACCTGCGCTTGGCTTAAAGTTCCGCGGACACATTAAATATATGAATTAAAAATAAATCAAATTGAATATCCACGTGTCCACTCCACGTGTCAACATTTTATTGACGTCCGGACGCAGAGCAACGTTCGACCTCCGCACCTAATAATTTTCCCATGGTTTGTTTTATCCAAATAAAGAACCTTATATGTAGTTTCCACAACTTGTATGCAAGATTCACTGGTGACCAAGCTTTTAAAAACCTAGTTTAATCCTTCATTTTGGTACCTTTTTCGAGGAGTAAATCATATGATCTAACCAAAACTTTGCATTACAGGGAACTGATGTCGTCCCTAATAACGCAAGATCGCACACCTGTCTGCTCTCTGGTGTATTCATCGGCAACGTAAAAGTACTTGTTAGATTATCATTCGGGATTGATGGGCCCAAACAAGTTGCCATGAAACTTGCCGTCAGATCTGAAGATGAAGCAATCAGTGACGCCATTCATGAAATTGTGGCCAATGATGAAGCAATCAGTGACGCTATTCATGAAATTGTGGCCAATGGCTAAGAACATGCAATAAGACTATCTTATTTTTTGTGTGGAAGATTCTAGAAAGGCATCCGTTATAAAATTCCAGAGTTGAAGGAGTTGCAGTATCAGGTACTAAATGAGGTTTGTGGATATTATTCTTGAGGTTTAAGAGTTGTTTCCTCTTTTAATTTACATTAGATCTCCCTTATTTTGCTTTTATGTAGAATATAATGGTACACATGTTCTAGCTTGATTTCTCTTTCCGAACTTTTAAACCCTACAGCAGTAATAATTTCTGTTTCAGGTCTAGTCTTTAGCTGCTATTCATCCAACTTGTCTTCCTCAAATATAAACAATTTTTGTTAGTCCAATATGGAAATTTTATTTCATTTTTTTTTTAATGTTAGTCTAATTTTCTTTCTATTATCATGTTAACTTTAACGGTTCTATGGATCTGTATTAGTTCATATAAACGGTGTAAATTTGAACCCCCTTCACAGAAATCATGGGTTGAAGAAACTTAAAAGCGGTAGGGCCAAACTCTTGAGAACTATTTGATAAGCCACTAATATTCTATTAAGACTTGTAGGAGGTTGTTGATGACATAAATATTGGAGTATTGTTAGATTGGTCGAAATATGTTTATAATGTGTTGTATGCCCACCATTTGACCAGCCTACTTAGCTGCAAACACACTGCCCGTATATTGATGATTTTTCAAGCAAAGGGACTAAAATGAGACTTTAGGTTGAATTCATATTTCAACATGACCATAATTTGGAGCATGGAGCCCTTTTAGGCTTTGTCTGGGGAAAAGTTATTCTGTGCAGATCTCGGGTAACGTCCGGTGATCAATCAGAATGAGTCATATTATTTTTTTGCTCGATATCGGTGCTTGGTATCGTTCGGTATTGGGTGATGTGGTGTGTTCGGATTGATCTCCGGACCGTCTGATGTTCGCACAGAATAATCTCTCACTTGGGACGGTTTTCTTACTATTTTTTTTTATTTTTTTTTTAATAAAAAATTTAATTTTGTATTTAAAAGTTGTTTTAGAAAACATTAAAAAAGTTGTTCGCGTAGACAGCTCTCTTTGGCCTATTGGTTGAGAGCTTAGGGTAAGCGTATAGTGGATTGTACTGCTATTTCATAGGGGCATATACTCTCATTGGTTGACAATTTTTTATAATTTTATTATTTAAGTGTCCTGTTCATTCTTAATTTTATTAATATACTGAGGGCTGTAAGAGGATCGATCAAACTTTTAGTTTCCTTAATTTGTGTTGATTATTTTTGTCAAAATTCTAAACCCTCCATAAAAGTTATTAGAAAGATGCCTTGGTCATTTGTTTTTTTTTTTCGTGTATTTGAGTGTCTTAATATCATAATAATTAAGATTTCTTGAGTTTCTTAAATTTATCTAATCGAGATGAATATTTTAATTATAAATTTGGTGAAAAAGAAATTTAGGTGATCTTAAATTTGATTCTAGAAACTTTTAATTCAAATATTACAAAGAGACTTATGTTTGATCGAATAGTTTTTTCTAATGATACGCAGAAGCATGCAAATATACAATTTAAATGTACGAATATGGAAAAAATTCTCCCTTCTAAAGCATCTTTTGACTTTGCTGTTCTACAATTCTCATCTACTTTAATATCTTATTATGTCAATAAATTTGTGTAAATATTATATTTAACTTATATCAAATCAAAATTTAAATATTTAAAATAGAATATAACCTCATTAAACAACCAACTCTTGTACTTAAAAAGAAATGGTTACAACCAACTTCAAATCATCATAATATAATCTTAAATCACTCTTAGTATTGATGATTTAAATTGTAAACATGATCTACTAATGCTTTGTTAGTGGTATAGCTCGATATTGCTCGGTATAACTCGGTATTGGTCTTCACATGATGATATTCTTCGTCAATATCAAATAATAGCTAGCAATACCGAGCAAAAATCGAGTTTTTTAGCGGTGGGAGGACGTATCTCTACGTCAGGTGGGAGGACGCAATTCTTTTACTTCTGTCAATCTTTCTCTAGCGAGCTCTCATTGCGATTCTTTTTCTTCTCTGATCACTTGAGTAAACAATTCAAGCTCGAGCTTTTGAATTAGCAGGCTCAAGCTTTTGAATAAGCAGGCGAACCGAGCTCAAGCTCAATGTATGAACTAAACAGGCTCGAATTTGAATTCATTTCTAGGTTTTGATTGATGAGCCGAGCTCAAGTTAGCTACTACTCGAGTCGATCATTACACCTGCGGTGGATGCCCAATGTTGACATCATATGTGTTAATTTTAATTTGTGGGTGGATTAAATAAAAAATCTTCAATAGAATTCGTTTCCTGTTTAACAAAAAATAATTAATTAACTATACTTATAATATCAAAATTTTAAAAATAGACTTTTCTTAATACTTTGCCCGCTTTTCTATTTAACAAATAAAATAACTTACAACAATATAATTCACCAAAAAACTAAACTCTTGCTATTTTTCTTTTCATAATAATCTCTTGTTACTATTCACCAATTATTTTTTTGGAAATTAAATTCATGCCATCACAAACTTATACAGTTGGGCATGCCAAAATAAATCATTGAGAATTTGCTGAAAACAAAAAAATATATAAATTAAAATTTAAATTCACAATAGTAGCTAAATTAAAAGATTCCTCTACTATGAGAGCACACTGCGGTGATACATACAATTTCTATAGAAACATACAAAAATAGCACAAGCAATTAGATAAAATAATTCAAACTGGAAAACAGCTAAAAGTTACCTGAAAGCATAAATGGTACAAATTTTACACCAACTGGAACATTTGGGTCGAATACTTTTCTCTAAGCACAGGAAAGGCTAACTAAACAATAGGTCATTATTAGCTGGATGATAGAACCGTAGATCAAATCACTTCTCTGTGTCCTCCAAAGGCCCATATCTGTCATGGAAAAAAAATGCAGATAGTAAAGAATTTGAAGCCTGGTTTGCAATTTGAAGATGAAAGACTCGCCTATATGTCCAATATCACTTATGAAAAAGGTTTTGAAATAGTGCTTGGAGAATAATAGTGAAGAAAATAAACAAAAATAGTTGATTAGGATTTTTAACAAGGAATGTCAATTTGACTTTAAGGGATAATGGAGAGCTAACAAAGGCATGAGAAATCTAATAAATTCCTATGGAAAAAATAACCTCAGGCATAATATAATTACAAGTCTTTGACAACATTCATAGAGGCAGAATGTAAATGAGTATATGTGTGAAAATATTAGAGTAGCTCCAGTGGCAAACAAAATTAGAGAGAGCCATCTTAGATGTATAAAACGTTGGCCTTCCAATCACCGGGTTAGGAGAATACATGTATTAGATTTTGCCATAGAAAAAAAATGTAGAGGTAAACATAAATGACTTGGTTAAAAAATATTTTTATTAGATTAAAATGAGAATTTGATATGCCTGAGGTCTACTATGGAAGCCATACATTTATCGAGAGGTATGATGGAGAAATATAAAGAGAATAAGGAGGATCTACATATGATATTTATTGATTTAGAGAAAGCATAAGATAAAGTTCCAAGGGAAATGCTATGGAGAGTTCTTGAAAAGAAATGAGTTAATAACACTTATATTCAAATCATTAAAGATATGTATGCAGGAGCTATTAATTGTGTTCAAACCACAAGGTGGTTTGACCAAGTATTTTCCTATTTCGGTTGGATTACATCAAGGATCAACCTTAAGTCCATATCTTTTTGCTTTAGTCATGAATGTTCTCACTATACGTGAAAAGGTTGGAGTAGCTCCAGTAGAAGATAAGATTAGAGAAAGTCGCCTTAGATGGTTTGGTCACATAAAACGGCGGCCTTGCGATGACCCGGTTAGGAGAGTAGAAGTATTAGATTTGACTTATGTTAAGAAAGGTAGGGGTAGACCTAAAAAGACTTGGTTAGAAAATATTAGGAATGACCTTTCTTTATTAGATTTAAACGAGAATTTGACTTTTAATAGGACACAATGGAGAAAAAGGATTCATGTAGCCGACCCCACGTAGTGGGATAAAGGCTTGATGTTGTTGTTCTTGTTG